CCTTTTTATTTTCTAGTGGTTGAGATGCTAAGGATTAGTAAGATCCTCAAAGAGGTATAAATAAGTGCTCACGTGTAATGGAACGAAAGCAAAAGCTTACTCTGAGAAGAAAGTGTTGATTTTAGCTGTCCTGAGTACTGGAAAGGAGAAGATAGACCCTGATTGGCAAAGTTAAATATAAAAAAGCCATGTGAAGATGGAAAAGAGCTACTATTTAGATCACACCACCTCTCTGCAAGTACAGTATTGTGTTCCCCGAAGGACCCAAGTTAAACTGTTACTGCACCATAGAAGTCTTTTGCAACCCTCCTTTAGGCAGGTTCTTAATGCCGCTGACTCTTATGCACCTTTACAGCCGCTGCAAGGATACTACATTTGAAGTAAGGTGCTCTTCTGGGAAAGATAGATTTAGGTTGGTGGGAACAAGTAGGAATTTGGACGCGGTCATATCTATGGTGTCATAAAAATTGAACAGCTTTGCAATACGAGATCCATCTTTTGTTTTTGTTCTTCATTAAGGCAGAAAACCAGTATGCGTGTTTGTCTGTGGTGGGGGGGAGAATTCCAAAAATATCAGAGTGACCTATTTTGTCATCTTTAGGGCTGTTTTGAGTTTACATTTTGAAATGAATTTTTGTTTCCATTTTAAACTTTTTAAAGACAGATCAAAATGTATAAAAGTTGCAATCAAATTAATTGCTTTGACTGGAAATAAAATTCATTTCTTTACAATTTTTTACATGGAACATTTCCACACCAAACCTGTAATTATCACAGCCCTTTGTGAAATTTAGACTTTCATCCTCCTCACAGTCCTACTAGGCAAATGAGGATCCTGTATGGTATAACACAGTAGAGACTGAGGCTTTACAACGACAAAGGCATTAACACTGAAAGCAAAACATCAGGGTCATCCAGTAGTAGTGGGGTTTTTGTTACACATCACTGCACAATGGGCTTAAAATTGAATCCGGTAGCTCAGTCCCAGAGCCAGCAGAGATTAAAACGCTGCAGGCACGTATGATTCATATAGAGTATATAAGAGTAGTTCATATCACTCTAAAAATTACCCATCGTAAGTCTGGCAATATGGGCTGTCACAGTCGCTTATCCTTCTTCATGAATGGTGTCTACAACACAGGATATAGATGGAACAGGGGTGAATAAGCCTGAGGCAAAGAAGGGGCAGTTCTTCAGAGGGACCTGAAGTCTCCAGAAATTTTTTTTCAATGATGTTCACTGTTAAGCGCCTCCCCTACTGTCCAGTTAAATGTCAAGTGCAAGATGTTTATCTGCATTAGCTGCAGCAGAATCCAAGAGCAGCTACAGCAGAGCAGGAGTCACTTTTATAGTCATGAAAATAGGAGAACTTAGAACAAAAACGAAAGCTCCTCTCCTCGCCGCATGGGGCTGTTTGTTTCACACGGTATTTCTTAGTAAGCTACTTTTCCAGCAGTACGCTGCTTTCTGTTGGATGCTTCTGATGTCATGCTGTTTCAGTGAAAACCCAGGACCCTGACTAAAGGCCATTGAGTTAAATGTTGGAGTGTTTTGCATGAGAGTGGTTACTGCTCAGGAGATGTGGAGACCATCTCATCTACTTGTGTCTGCTGGTCCCCTGAGCAGGCCTTGTGCCACGGCTGCCGGGGAATTCTTCGGGTTCTTCCAGAGGCAAAGCTTCCCGCTTTACCTCCTGCAGTGAGCTGCCAGGTTCACAGGGGTGTATGATCCCCCTCAAAGCTTGTCCCAGACGTGGAAGGATAGATCATCCAGAGTTATTGAATGCATGTTTACAGCCTTTGTCATGGAGAGGAAAAATATGGAAGCATAATCCATCCTTTCTGAGAGACGCTTAAGAGTGAGTGTTTGGAATAAAATAATTTTGCAGTCTATGCATTAAAATGTAAACTTGGACAAGCACCTGCACAACAATGCCTTCATCACTTGAAAAGCAAAAATCTAAGTTACAAGTGTTGCTGCAGGATTTGATTCGTCAAGCAAAAGAAGGAAGAGAAAATGTCCTGAACGTGCAGATTTTTTCCTGAGGAATAATGGCTCTTATGTAAATCATGGCTTTATTTTGCAAATACGTGTGTTTTCATTCCCACAAATTGAGTTCACCTCTTCCTCCCTTCTCTCCACTGCAAACCTGCGCTAAGTCTAGCAAGTCTTATCGTTCTGTTTATGAATATCAAAGCTATTAACACCCAGGGTAGAGTTATGTAGGAACCCCTTTATTTCAAAGTGGCATCTTGAAATCTACAAAGTCAGTGTGAAATAAAAGTCTTGGTTGGATAGCGCTGTGAATGACAAATGTAGCTTATCAGTAACCTGTGGAATAAATACAGCTTTTTAACATCGTCTTATGTGGTCAGATAGTGAGAGAGAAAAAGACATACATTAAGCAACAGAAGTGATGGAGTAGTTTGGTAGATAAAACCCTTGGTGCAATACAAATATTTTCTAGCTGTGTGTCAAACAGATGTGTTGTGTGGTTGTTTGGTGTATCTCTGCAACTGACAAAGAGTATTTGCCTTGCCGAGCAATTTTGACACAAAATTCATGATCAGTGAACAGAGTACGAGAGACTCGTAGTGTCTACCCTCTCTGGCTCCGGTCTTGATTTTATGCCCAGGTCCCCCTGCATAACTTCATAGAAATCACTGAGTGAACCCAGAAATGTCACCAGTGGAGGCAGGATCAGTATCTCCCCCTAAATCTTTACCTGTTCATAAATGGTTACATTCAGTTTTCAGCAAGTCCGACTGTGTTCTGAGCGGCACTTGATTGCTTTCTGTCTCTTTTTTTTTGCTGTCTTTCATGATACGTGTGCCTGTCATAAATATAATCTATCATTTCCCTTTTTAAGCTAAAATGGTTGGAGGAAGGGTACAGGAATCTCTCTCCTTCGGAGGGAAAATTATTTAGTAATGTGCCCGAGCAAAGTTTTTTCGAGGCAGTGCTTATGTTTTGTTCTTGGAACAGCAAGATATATGTTCCTCAGATAACTGTGTCTTAGGAAGTGTGTTCTGATAGATTCCCACTGTGAATATCAACATTGGTGCCTTTTACAGTATTCTGTGCCCTTGTTTCAGGAATACGTTATGTCAGCACTTTTCACAGGTTAATTACTTCTTGTATAGCAAAATACCGGTTTTAAAATTCCTCTTCTTCATTTTCTCCTTTTCAAGCTATTTGCCTATTAACTCATTATGAGGTGAGCATCTATTACATCATCTTTGTTTTCATCTCCCAAAGTAGCATCATTTCCAAATCTTCTATATGGAAATCTTCCAATTCCTATAAAGCTTATTCCTTAGTGTGTTTTTTTTAATGTTTATTTCTGCTTATGTAGGTATTTTATGTGCGGCAACTAAAGCTAAATACGGAGTTTGCTTTGAAGCTAGGTATTAATGCAGGAATTGTCCCAGTGGATGAGCCCTGCAGTTGTCTTGCTCAGTTCTCAGTCTCTGATAGATACCACTGTTAGGTATTTCAGAGGAAAGCGCTATATACCCAACAGTAAAGAAATAATGAGCCTAACACAGAAAGCTTATGCCTTCCCCTATCAGTCTGTTCTTAATTTGTGCCATGAAAAATAAGAATCTGTATTGCTACTTACTTTTCCCCAACCTAGAGCAGCTTTTGGAGTTTTCATTATCTGTATAAATGTCTAATCCTTCCTGAAATCCTACTAATCTTGTAGTCTCAATGATGTCTTGTAACAATGAGTTTCACCTCAGGTTAATCAAGTACTCCAAGAAAAAATGTTTGCCTTTGTCAATTCTGTGTGTGTTGCCTTTTCAATTTCACTTAATGCCCAGGAGTGTAGCTTTATTTCACTTTTCCTACCATTCATTATTTTCTAAGCCTCTGTAACGTCTTCCCATATTCATTTCCTCTCTAAAGCACACGATTCCAAATGTCTCAGTCACTTACTTGAGGAATAGTTTTGTATGCTTTTAAGTATTTTTATTTCATGTTTGTACCTTTGTCCAAGTTTTCAAATGTAATTTTTAAAGATGAGTATTGCAGGCATAATACTGATCTGTAAGTCGGTAATAGACTATTACTTGTATAATTTTGATTCTTTTGATTCTTAGTTCATTTTTCATTTCATTTTCTCCGGTAACCCCGTGTGTACTGAGGAGATTTCAGAGGGGTGTTCAGTGCTATGCAGATTCTACATTTGTGAATCTGCTGCATCTGCTACGCAGATCCTAAATTTGTGGATTTGTTCCACAAATAAATCTTTACTTACCCTGAGCATCCTAGAGTATTTCATTAAGTGATTTAGTTAACGTTTGTCACTGTGCTTGATTCACTTTCTATGTTGTATTTCTGTGAAAGGGAGAATTGAGTGTTTTGAAAACATTTTGGTGGGGTTTGTTTTTGCTTTTAAAATGTTCGTGTACACGTGTTTGTCACGAACAGGTGAAAGAAGGGCATTTGGAGTAGAGCGTGGTGAGCTTGTTAGTGATCTTGTGCTCCTGTCGAAACTATAAATTCTCCAAAACAAAGCCCAGGTTTCTTCCTGCAAAGGGATCTAAATTATGGCAGTTGCTACAGCAGCTTAAAATGTCAAATTATAATCCGTTGAAGAAGTTGATCTTGAGATGCCTCAATATCAGGGTTTAGTCTCTGCATTTTAAGACACTTTTAAGTCTTGTTTTCCAGAGTGCAGCCCAAGCCTGAATTTTTTCTACAGTCGTGGCTGATTGGCATTTATGAAAATCCAGTTTGTCAGAAAGTTCTGGAAAATAGATGGTCTCCCAAATCAGAGGCTGCTTCTGTAACTGGTGCTTTTCATCATGCAGAGAAACTAAATCAAACTGTATTTGTTATGTCCAAGATCTTTGCAAGTGAAGAGGTGGAAGAAGCATTCTGATAACTAGCAAAAACCTAGGCTATGTTTAGCTTTCACTCCTGCAGCATTTTTCTGTGAAATTTAAAATTAAATCTGAGAAATACCAATGTTTTTTATTGTTTTTGGTTCCCAGATCTAAACGTCCAGTGCCAGTTCCAAGCACAGCACCCAGAATTGACTCTCCCCGGCCTGTAATTCCCCACCAGAAGGTATGTGACATATTTCTCCTCAGCCAAAGTTATCAGTTGTATCTGCCCTAGTGAAAGTACATACCTACTACAGAAAATAAATTTTGCCCACCCCAAATAAGTAAACTTTGAAGGAATGCATTAAGTACCACAAGTGCCTATAATGTGATGTATTGATGATCTGTATTTTGCAAATTCCTGATTAGAAGAACCAAAGCATCCAGATATCCTCTGACAGGATCTGGTCTAGTCTACTCTGAATGGCTGAACAAGGTTGTCGTCTTGATTTTGGTCTCCTCTAGGCTGCACATGGCTAACAAAGCTTCCCAAAGTGTGCGTTTACTTTTGTAGATACTTGGGGGGAAAAAAAAACAGTTGTCTTTGTCTCAGTGTATCTAAATCTTGACTACAACTGAAAAGACACTGACGTGGAAAGACAAGAGGACATATTAGAGCATTGGAAAAGCTTACATCATATCACATTCTTGTCCTACCAGTCAGTAGACATGAGAATAAAAATAAAGAGGATAAGTCAATTTAATGAATAACATCAAATGGTAGAGGAAATGGATGGCTTGCGTTCTGTTGCCAAAGTTCATCATCATCTATAAAATAGATGTATAGATATCAGAACAAACAGCATTCACTGACTGTACCTGGCATTTCATCATCTGTATCTTCAGAGGGACTGAGGACCAAGGATGTCTGAAAGATGGCATATACCCTTAGGATAAAGTAGTTGGCAGGATATTTGTATTGCTGATGTATTCAATTAGATAAACTGGGAAAAGGCAAAGTCCTCGCTGCTACAGTTTTACCCATTTTGTAAGTGCTAATTTTGTCCCTACTATGTAAAATAATTAAGAAGCACTTAAGATCAAAACATACAGGGAACTAGGTGATTTCTTCTTGGTTTTTTTGGCAAATTTGATTTCTATAGGTCAATTTTAAGCATTTTTTGTAAACACTGTGTCTTCCAAATTCAGATATCAGGAGGTTGACATTATTCCTATAGCAGCTGCAGATACCTTCAAGGTAACAGAGGAGAATGCGCTTAGGGGGAATGGTTTGGTTCAATTTTGTTTTGTCAAATTTGAATTAAACCTACCTGACTATTTATTAGTTGAGGCAGAAATAATGTTATTTCCCTCTGAGATCTTGTAAACTTTTTGGCAAGGGAAGAAGGAATTAAGAATTTGTGTTGCTCAGAGTTGTTTCTGCTTATATCATGATTCTATAACTGTTATCTGAGGAGGAAGTTATTGGAAGAATGATCAAATGGTGCTGTAAGCTTCCTGAAAGAGAAAGGATGATTCATTCTTTTACTTAAACTGGTGCTCCAGCAAGGGAATAGGGGCATGAAGGGGAAGAGAGTACTTGCCTTTCCCTGAAGAACTGCGCAGGATACTGTCTGCCTTGAAGGCTGCAAGTAGACTTGACTCTTCAGACTCATTCACTTGCACAAAACGTTTACAGGACCAACTGTCTTTTGGGACCCTCAGTAATACCTGTGTAGGTATCACAGATATGCGGTTGGGAAAGAGATTTACTAGATTCTTTTTGAGATTTACTAGAATCTTTTTGTGGGAGAAGGGTGGCAGCTAAGAGAAGATACGATGGGGAACAGGCTTCTAACAACATTCAAAAAGTTTTCTTAAGCCTTCAAATTGGAAGAAGACTAAGCATGACTCCAAGGACTGAGAGTAAGCCATCATCAGTCACTAGACTGAGCTCCTGCAACTTTTGAGGGGATGTAACTAGGCAAGTACAGGTAAGGAGTCAGCTTAGTGCAGTTCCAAATGTTTCAGCTGAAGCCTTAAGGCTAAGGTGTATATAGAGTGCTGGAGTGGAAGGCCCTTGCGGGTCAGGGGGAGTGATTTTTGTGTTTTGGAGCAAAGGAGCTGTGGACCAGGTGAATAAACAGCAATAGTGAAAGCCAGCCCTCTGTCTTGGGCTAGGAGATGCACCTGAGTAATAGAAGAAGGACTGAAGCAGACAAGAGCAATTTTAACTGTTAGTAATCAAGGTATTGCTGAGTACAGCAACTAGAAGAATTCTCTCAGGGTGTTTTGAGAAGAAATGAAGGCATTGAACTGCTGGAGGGGAAGTCTCAAAAAATGGAATAAATGTGTTTACTGATACAAACAGCAGTATGGGATGTTGCCATAAGGTATGTTATAGTAAATATAGTTTAAAATCAAGGTTTCTGTCTTGTCCCTTTATTACATCTAGTAACAGTAACACTGTAGATGAGAACAGTTCCATGACATACAGGCAGAAACTGTCACCTCCACATTACTACTTGATAGTGTTCAACTCATTGTGCACGTGAAAGGAATTTGATTGCATTTCAAAGACAGCAAACAACTACATTACACGACAGCTGTTACAGTGTTGTCCGTAGATATAGAGGGAACTTTTTCTTGCCTCTCCCTGGGTCAAAGTTAAAGGCATGGCTGTGTCAGCTAAAAAAAAAAAATCTGCGTATGCAAGTTCAGAGTCTAGTATAAGCCATAAATTCCTTGGTACGTTATTGCTGATCTGATTGCAGCTTGCACTAATTTTCAAGCATAGATTCCTCTTTTGCCTGCCATGGTCGTGGTCTCTCATGTGTTGGAAAAACAAACTTACATTCCTTTGAAGGATGTAAAGAAGGTATAAAAACCCCAGAGTTTTTCAGCATGATGTAAATTTTTCGACATTCCATAGGAAATGGAACATGTGCATTCTCTCCTTAGTTTCTTGAGCTGATCAAAGTTATGGATGGCACAGTTTCTTCAACCATAAGTATGAGATCAGCTGTGCTGTAGGGCTGTATTGGAAATAATAGTTTTACTATTTCCTTCTATAACATCGATCTGAAAGTTGAAACAGATTTGATTTGGGGTGAGTTTTAGTCAGACCTTTTGCACAGGTGTGGCATAGCTGGAAGAGAAAGGCATAACTGAGGCTGAAAGCCTTCAAATTTGGAAGAAGAGTAAGCATGACTCCAAGGACTGAGAGTAAGCCATCATCAGTCGCTAGACTGAGCTCCTGCAACTTTTGAGGGGATGTAACAAGGCAAGTACAGGTAAGGAGTCAGCTTAGTGCAGTTCCAAATGTTTCAGCTGAAGCCTTAAGGCTGAGGGTATAGCTTTAGCTTCTGTCCCTTTTGCACAACAGTAGTAAAGATAGCTTCTTTAATAACATGACTACCTGTTGTCCTGTTTATGAAACACTGCAGAGCGCATGTATTTCAGAATCCCAGTGAGGATCTCATAATGCCCGTGATTTGTTTCCTGCAACATATGGGAACCTGTGTGGCTAAGCGAAAGTGTCCGAAAGATGGTAGAGTACGCTTAGTGCAAAGCTGTTTGTTGGATGTCTTTGAGCAAAGTCATTTAATCCATGGTGCCTCCATTTCCTTTTTTGTAAAAAGGTTAAAGTGACATTTAGCTTCTCCTTGAGCACGTTGGGAGGTTAGATTCATTAGTATAGCTAAAGAGTTTTGAAATTGTTCTCCTAGAAGTGCAAAAAGCCGGACTAGTCTAAAGACAATAGCAATAGAAAACAGAACGTGGGTTATTGAAGGAAGAGGACCTGAAAAACTGGTAACGTTGCCTCCTATACAAATTCATCTTTCTCACCTCTCCTGTGTGTAAGAAAGAGTGCTTTCCTTTCACAGAATTTGAATATTCATAAGGAAGGCATAATAATACTGCAGAATGGAAATAGAACTGATTCATAACTTCCTTCTATTCCCAAATGTTTGAGACTCTCCTCTACTACATTTATCAGTTTTGAACTCATTCACTAACGTTACACTGGGAAATTAAAAACCTGTTTTCCATCCTACTAAGCAGCGATAAGGATTGCAGCAAGATGACAGCTTCTTTCTCTGGGAAGGAAGCCTGTTGCTCAGTGTCAGAGCCTCCTCTTCTGGTCAGCTGAAGGGTAGCATCAGACTTGCATGGTTTAAGATGTTAGCTTGCTTTTCCAGCCGCAGAGATGATGAGGCGGAAAGGGATGAAAGGGAGGTGGGAAACAAGGGAACGTTTGTTACTGTTGGCTACATTTCATGCGATACCTTATAAGAGCTTATAAGAGCTGCGCTGCTGGTCATTATAAGAGCTGCGCTGCTGGTCATTATTAGAAATCTGACCTTCAGATTTCAGAAAGGCTCTTCCTGTGTTGACCTGTTTTTGCCACTAGACTACAAAGAAACAGAACAGTAATTTATTCTAAAATATCCTCCCAGGAATAAACTGAATGGTAGATACTTTATAAATCACAACAGAGAAGAGCTGAATAAGCTGATTATTGGACAGTAATCGTTTTGAAGGAACTGTGCAGCTGTTCTCTTATCCACTTTCTGTTTCACCCTTTTTCCCCCCAAATGCAGGGAAAACACCTACCTGAGAACTACTGTGAATACTAAGCCAAAAGGGAGAATCCTAAGCTGGCACTGTTGGTTTGCTAGGAATGCTAGTGTTTAGTTACTGGTGTGTATTCTACTTTATTCCAGCTAGAAGTGGTTTGAGGAGTGAAACCAAAATTCCATTCATGTCATTAAGGCTGACACAAACATCAACCTTCATTTCTTATGTTCATCTTCTCTCTAATTTTCCCTTTGCTTCCTATTACCGTTCAGTAGCACCAAAACTATGAGAAGGCATTTTGGTTAAGGAAGTGCCTGACGTTTCTTTTACTACTGATACTGTAATCAGGTCTCCATGCATGTCCTTTTATTATGAAGTTTAGCAAGGAAACACAATTTTAGATAAATTCCACAGAGTTTTCAAGGTAACACACAAGTCTAGCTCCAGCTTATCCTTTTTGTTCTCTTATTGCCTCTGTACTAGTTTTGGCAGTATTTGTTTTGTCCCCCCTTTGCCAGCATGTAAAACTCAATTGCACAATTGGTGACTTAATTTGTAAGCATGGTCTTGTGCGTTTGTCCCTCTTTTAAAACATATTTTTAGGGAGAAATCCCGTTTTCTTTTTATTTAATAATACTTGCAAACTTGCAGTAGGCCACTTAA